ATCAGGACCGGGGATCCAGCCTGCAACCGAGGTATGTGCCCTTGACCGGTATCGAACCCAGGACCCTTCAGTCCACAGGCTGATGGTCTATCCACTGAGCCAAACCAGCTAGAGTGCCACTTAGTCTTTTTGGTCATTCTAGTCACTTCAGGAAGCCACAGGATGTTGCAAGGGACGTACTGGATGCCGGGGAAAATGGACATGTTTCAGCGGGGCCTTTGATATCAGTAAGACATCATTTTCTCTGAAACCTGCTTGGCTTCCACCTGACCTTGCCACTAAGAGTGAATGCCACTGGCAGGCAGCTCAGTGCATGTAAAGACCACACATGGGTTAACATGCATGCAGGTAGAGTGCACAGACCCACGAGAGAGACTGAACACGGATTCATGGTTGAAGGAGCAGAGCTCAGCACCACACAGAAGTCTCCCTTCATCATGCCCAATGAACTTGACCATACTAATACATTATGTTAATAAATCATGTCACATGAAATATATTTGCTTTTTGGTAGGATTAGAGGGACCATTAAAAAATTACCTATATACTATATATACATAAACAGGTATGTAGACATGCATATATAATGTGCAATATATCTTTATATATTTTTTCAATGAAAGCAATTTTCTGTTTGGCTTTCTATCAAAGATACCTTAAAATTATTCAGTAAGATTAGAAACAATTTTGGCAGAATTTGGCACATCATTTTTGGCTTTGTGTTTTCTTTTTGAAATTTCACTGAATGGGATCATTACATGCTAATAATTAGGTGATCGTTTCATTTTCCTCCCCACAATTGGTTCCTGCGTTTTTCTGCCCTTCTCCAGGTTGCCACTAGAGGGCAGCATATGCACAGTAGAGCAGTCAGACCCTCAATTTACAGACAAAAGATAATGGGGGAGGGGCAACTTGCTGTGCTTTGGGAGCACACAAATTTTCATTTCCACCAGCTATCTTTATTTTACTAGTTACAATATTTAAATTAAGGATAAAAAGATCCATATACAGGGAGCCGCCTTACTGGAAATAGCAAATGAATTAAGAATTCCAGAATCTTCAAATCATTCCATTGAACATGTGAATCCCAGAAACATACCTCCCATTTCTCACTTCCTCTTTTATGTTACTTAGCTTGTCTTACTAGACTCTGTGAAGTCAAGGATGAACAAATATTTGTGTCAATTTTTACAGAAATAAATATAATAACCAAAAATTTTCAGGTAGGACTATATCAATTTTCTTTTTTTTAAAAAAGAGTATGGACAGTTATACATGTTCAATAATTATAAATAGTTGGACTGGGGTTTTCTATAAAACCCCAAAGAATAAATATAACTATTATTATGAGCAGACATGTAAAAGAATGAAAAATGGATTCTGAGCTCAATATCAATCCATAGGCATACAAGCTTTGCCAATATCTTGGGATAGCTGTCAATATCAGTTTTCCTTTACAAGGCCAAACCCTTTGCCTATATCCTCTCCTCCCTCATCACCACCACCACACAAGGCGACGGTCATGAGTCCTCTCACGTGAGGGCACAGAGGTGGAGGCTGGCTGAAGGACGTGCTGGGGCCATGCAGGGATGAGTGGCTTCTGGGATCACACTGGCCCACTTCTGCTCTTTCCTCTGGGCTGAGGACCCAGATCTGGGCTCTGGCTCATCCTCTGCCCTCTGCTCAGCCCTCGTCCTGATGTTTAACTTCTAATGTGTGTGGCTCTTCTCCTTGGCTTCTGGTCACTCACTGAGCATTTGTTATAAATATTGTATTTATATATTTAAGACACAAATTTTTAAAAAAGCTAAGCAGACTCTACATTACACATAGGCCATTTTGTCCCCAGTGGTGGCTCCTGAGGCAACTTTACAGAGGAAGACCTAGGGTCTGGGGTCTAGTCCTGAGATGGGAACCGGGAGGGGTTAGTTAGGATGAAGGTGTCAGGTAAGGCAAGTGCCAAGAAAAGTTTCTAGAAGGAGGTGGGGTGGCCTGAGGGGAGCAGAGCTGGAGACACCAGGAGGGAGTGGATGGGCTCGGACGAGACTAGGGGACCCACCATTGAGGCTCAGGGCGTGGAGGGAACCTATGAGAACTTCGGGAAAATGAGGTGGACTTGCTGTGGTCACCAGCACCTGCCTCCTTTCTCACCTGACTGGGAACAAGGGGCTCCCACCTGCGCTTCCAGGTGGACACCGCATAGAAAAGATGACCTGCCACAAAAAGCTGCCAGCTGCTTCTGGATCAACCGGGACCCTGCCACTGTCCAAGCCAAAGCAGAGAAGGTGCTGCAGACACAGGCCCCTCCCACCCACCTGCAATATCCCCCAAGCGCACCTGCTGCCTCGCTGTCTCCGCTAATGGTAAGAACAGTGGCGTCTACACGAGCCTGCCCGGAGGGAGGCGTGCCCGGCAGCGGCAGTGGGAAGTTCTGGTGGGATCACGGAACATGACGAATTGATTAATTAGCCCTGGTGAGTCGCTGTCATTCTTGGACAATGGAGTTCCGCAAGCTTTTGTGCAGAAAGGTTCTCCCATTTGCCCACAGTCAGCCCTGGCAGCTGACCTGCACTATCGTTCTTGTTCAGAAGATGTGTTTTTAATACATCTTTGTAGAAAAAGGCTAGTTTTGTACTAAGAACAATGAAACTCGCAGACCGCAGGCCACCCATCCTAGCTCACCCTGGATTTATCTGCACGCAGTGGGGGGAGGATGAGAAAGCCACTCCGGTCCTGGGACTGTGTAGGAACTGTCCCTGAGTGCGTGTAAGGGACTGCCTTCGGAAGGAAACGGTGCCAAGAGGGGGTCATCAGTAACACCAGAAAGTTCCATCCTGGCCAGGAGACAAGACCCCCTTTGGACTGAATTTTCTTTCATTCTCTGCAAGTACAAAAACATCACCAAGGGCCAAGATTTTTCTAATTTGTCATCTTGGCAAACTCAATCTGACAACATATTTGTTGAATTTCTGCCCCAAATCATCTTTCCAGGTTTCCTACAGTTCAGCTGCTTATGCAAAATCTCACAGGGAATAGTAAAGTCTCCCCACTCCCAGAGGGGAGGGGTGGCCATCGCAGGGGAGCATCTGCAGTCACAGGGTCCGCAGAGGCCAGCAGAGAGCCGGCCTAACCCTGACTTTTGCTCCACAGAGAGAATCCTCTTTGCTGGAATCTTTTGTGAAGGGAGGAGGTGTAGGTAAAGAAGAGAGAGAGCTGCCATCTGCCTCAGGCACTTTGCAACATCCAGCATTACAGTAAGAGCAAACTTCAGACTCAGCTCTTCACTTTTCTGGGCAGAGGTTGGGCAGGACGGACTATGTGGCATTTCCCAGCTCATTTCTTAAGTACACAATTGCTTGGCATTTTATCCCACAGCACCAAGCAGCCTCGGGCTAGGGCTTGGCATATATTGTAAAAATCTGGGAGAATGAATCAAAATGAGGTCATGTGAAAATTCTGTCATCAGCGGTCAGCGTGCCTGCTGGGAATGTGGGAAGAAGAGTCCATGAACCTACCTGCCTCCTCCCAGAGTCCTTCCCAGTGGCCTGGGGCTAAAATAATTAGTCCAGCAAATCCCACCTTGGGCCTATCACGTTGGCCTCCACTAGTTTCCCCATGTGGGAAAGTACGGGTGGAAAGAGTGTCGTCATGCTGGCTTCTGGGTTTTATTTCGCAGCTGAACAATTGCCCATATTCATAGTTTATGTTTTAAAACATGTGTTGGAAATGCTAGTGATATTCCCATACAAAGTTCAAAGTAAACCAAGGTGAGCTCTTCCATAGTCCCACACAGTAATTACCAGGAAAACCTATGACTTTGCAGTTAAGTGGTGCCCTTTTAAATAAAGGCAAACCCTTTTATTATGCTACTAGAGACCCAATGCATGAAAATTCGTGCAAGAGTAGGCCTTCCTTCCCGCGGCTGCCGGCACTGGCTTCCCTCTGGCACCCGGGACCTGGGAACCGGGCTTCCCTCCTCCAGCTGCCGGCAGGCACCCGGGGCCTGGGCTGGCTTCCCTCCGGCCCTGGCTTCGTCAGGAAGGACGTCTGGAATAATGTCCTGAAGATGTCCAGTCTAATTAGCACATTACCCTTTTATTATTATAGATGATCTTAGTAACATCAAATGGTGTGTGCCCCCTCTCCTGCCCCCCACTACTCAGGGATAGCACCAGGAAGGACCAAACCTCCATGAACCAAAAGAAATGAGCTAAGCACAAGTTAGCACCACTCTCGGGAAATTATGAACTAATCCTAACTCTGCCAGGCTGGGTCCTTGTGCTGCTCACTCGGCTACTGCCCGCCACATGGGTGGGTTTGTGACAAATACTGGCTCAGTAAGTCAATGATATAACTTGCTGGGCTTTCTCTCTATGTGGCCTGTGACATCAACTTGGAATAGTGACATCAACTTCTCAAGCCAGTAAAAAAATAAGGCCCTTTCTACTTCTCTTTTTTATTTAGGAAAAGACTTTTTCCATTGGGGTCTCTCAGAGGAGTTGGCAGCATTTGATTTCAGTTGAAGTGAGGATGTAAGTTATCTGCCGATTTCACTCCTTTCCAGTCATTGCCGTGTTCCCTTCCTCCCCCTCCTCCTCCTCCTTCTCCTCTTCCTCCTCCCCCCCTCCTTCCCTTCCCCTTCCTCTTCCTCCTTTTCCTTCTCCTCTTCCCCCTCCTCCTCTTCCTCCTACTTCTCCTCCTTCCTCCTCCTCCTCCTCCCCCTTCCTCTTCCTCTTCCTCCTCCTTCTCCTCTTCCCCCTCCTCCTCGTCCTCAGACTGCAGCCTGGCAGAGCCCAGGATCAAGTTCTCACCTGATTCTCAGCTGCCTCAGGTCAGGGTGGCATGCCGCCTCACTAAGCTCACTGCTCAGCAGCTGCATCACCCTTGCCCGAGGCCAGGGCCGGCCAAAGCTGAGCTGTGAACTCACTCGGAGCCTTGCCAAATGGGAAGCCCTCCAGGGTCCCAAGAACACATCCTGCGGGGCATCTCCCACCACTCACCTTATCACCGTGGGGGTGATCTCTGCACAGAAGAACACACTGAGGCTTCCCACTGCGTGGGAGGCAAACATGCCCACGATGGAAAATGCAATGGAGAATTTGTCCTTGACACTGTCGCTCATACCTGAAGGGCAATCAGAAAGGGCTGGTGAGGAGGGGCAGAGGGAAGGGGAAAGGAAGCTAGTCACGCTGGGGCAGAGAGAGCGGGGCAGAGGGGAGCAGGGAGGCCTGGGATGCATGAAGGGACTTCCCTCTTCCCCTCTCTGCTATTGGGGTGCAGACCAGGGTGCTCAGTCCCTCTGCAGAGGGAGGAGCAGCCCAGAGGCAGGAGGTCAGACCCTCTGGGCAGTAGACTGCCAGGTTCTTGCAGGTCCCCTGTGGGTCCTGAGGGCTGGGGCACACATGGACTGCTGGGTGCCTCAGGCCGAGCCAGCCTGGCAGGAAGGGAGGCTGGCGGTCTCAGGGTTACAGCAATGTCCACTCTGTCTCAGCCTTCCATATGGTTCCAGAGAAAGGTGCCCACACTCAGAGAGCCGTGGCTATTCGGGCCTTAGTTTTGCCCAGTCCAATACACGGGGCAGGGTATCTAAGGCTTGATTTAAGGGAACAAAAACTCAAATAATCCAAACAGAAAAATTTATGGGCCTGGAAGGAAAGGGCTCAACCAACCCTTTGCAAGGGCTCAAGCATCTTGCAAATGGCACTAGAGTCTGACCTCATGCCAAGGTGGCGTCTAGCGTGAAGCAATAGCGGGCCGCTGGGGCAGAGCTCAGTTCCCTGCGAGGCTGCACGGGGACCCAGGCTCTCCCTGTGGAGGGCCCAGGGGCATGGGCTTGGGTCAGGCCAGGCACGTGTGACCAGCAGCACTGCGGTGCACGGCGGTGGCGCTGCCGTCCCCGCGGCGGAGAGCAACAAGCCCGCGAGACTCATTCACAAGCAGACAGCAGCTTCCCTCGGCAGCATGGTCAGCCAGGCCTCCAACACCCTTGGGCATTCTGATCTCGCCCAGCACTGTCCCTAAGACACTCTGCATCTCTGCGTGGGTGGCAGCTGAGGCCTGTGCTGACTGCCGGTGCCGGTGCCAGGGGAAGAGGCGAGGGCATGCGTGCAAACTGGGCACAAACAGGAGGATGAGCAGCTCTTTCTAGAAGCAAAGGGGGTAGAGAACACAGATGTATGCTTATAGTGTCCAACCTACGGCCAACTTCAGCTGCAACTCTTGGAGGGTGAAGGAGAAGGAGAAACAGGAGAGGGAAAACACAGGCGTGTGAGTGTTTATGAAATTGCCCATTTGGATGCAATACAAAGATGATGACGCGCATGCACAAGCACGTGGGGCTCACCTGAGTCTGGGTGCTGGCTGTACTTCCCAATCACTGGGCCACGGAGATGATGGCAGCACACGGACGAGGACAAAGAAAGCGGGAAAAGGGGGAGAAAGAAAGCACATTAGGCAAGTGTGTGTGTTTCCACGTGGCTGGAATCTCAGTGAATTCCCTGCAGGTCTGGGCCAGAGAGCTAGAGAGGTGGAGAAGGCCTGTGGGACAGTCCCAGGCACTGGAATTAGCACTCGGCTAAACAAAACTCTTCCTGTTGGGAAGGGCAGGCTAAAGCCTCACTGGCCTCATCCTGGGGAGAAGCCTGCACCCTTCGGAACCGACTCTGGCTCACTCCCTGGCCTGAGCCAAGCACTACTTCCGCTGCGCATGAGCCTCATCACCGCTGGCCTGTGCTCAGGGAGCCTCCGCTGCGGCCAGGCCACCGCCAGGGGCGTTATGCTCTGAGTCTGATCCTCAGACGACTTGTCCTTTGCACAAAGTAGCTGTGGCATTCCTTCCTGCTCAGGGAAGAGAGCACAGTGACGTCCCGGGCTGCCTGCACACCCCCTGGAACGCCCACTCCCTGGGAGGGCAGCTCGGGCAGCCCCACCAGGGACAGGATGGTCGAGAGACAGACAACACTTCTCCGGTTCCTTGTCAGTCACAGCTGAAACAAAGACCAGTCCCCAGCGAGATGCAGGATGCACAGGACCTGCCCTTAGAAAACTGCCTCATGAGGCCGAAACCGGCTATTCTCTAACCCAGTGTGTACACAGGCTGAGGAAGTTGTGAGCTTTCTTTCGCTTCCTTCCGTTCTGGACCCTGACGTGTGTCTCAGCCACATCCCACACACCTGACATACCAGAGGCTCTGACCCTCGGTGCACGAGGGTCCCGAGCCCAGTCCCCACAGCCTGGTGGCTCTCCTCATGGCATCCGTGTCCCCACAGTGTCCGAGCTGTCCCAGGAGGCCGGGCACGGTGAGAGGAGGGCTCAGCTGCCTGGCTCACTCACATCTCACCGTGAGCAGGCCACAAAGATGCCTGTGGCTCCTTCCATGCATGGAGGTGCGCCTTGGCTCACATGGCGCTGTTCTGAGTTTGCCTTCTCATACTTGCAGGGGCCACATGGATTCCCCAGCATTCCTTTAAATCATTTAAACATTTACTGAGAAATTCTTTGGCCCAAAGACAAGCTGAGGAACTTGGGAATATCTACTGAAAAGCAGTGTCCCAACGTAAGAGTGTCAACATTTATTTCCCCCTTCATTTCACAGGGAAGAAACAAGCCCTTGTTCTTCTCCGTCAGGTGGTGTCACAGAGATAGTCTGGCCATTAGCGAAGCCGCGGCCACGCAGGTGCAGTCAGGGCGGCTCTGAGTGGGAGCCCAGGGTTGGGGAAGGAGAGGAGAGAAGGCAGTCACCATGCACAGCTGTTAGAGCTGCTGATTTTGAAATACCAGGTCACTGAAAACTCGTCTCAAGTCCCACCAGCCCTTTCGTACACCGGCCCCTTCACCCGGCCCCGCCCCCGCCCCACAGCCCATCCCACTCCCCCGGCTCTACTCACGGTTGAGGAGCCCGAGCTGCAGGAGGGAGGCCAGGGCAGTGAGGATCATGAAGAGCAGCAGCCCTCCCCGGCGCCCCAGGAACCTGACCACCACGCACATAGCCAGGCAGGAGGCCAGGGCGATGCTGGCCATGGTGTAGTAGTCGGCGTAGAAGTTCTCCAGCAGTGGCACCTTCACCTCGTGGCCCATCATGCTCCTTGCGAAGCAGTGGTGGATCCCGAACCCTGTCAGCCTGTGGGAGACACACCGAGAGGGCCATGTGCGGGCACGCAGGGACACCAGGGACCGCGCCACTCCCCGGGAGTCACTGTGTCCAACAACAAGGAATTGTGTGAGCGGCTCCATGTGTAATCAAAAGTGTGCCGTTACCATAAGTGAGTGGATAGGAGAGAGACACGCAGACTGAAGACTTCAGAGAGGTGACCCTCGCTGGGGCGTGCCCACTCCCTGCCATCACTCCAGGAGAAAGGTGTGAGCATAAAGGCAGCGAGGCCTTCTGTTCAAACAGCAATTTCACGGGAACCCCACATGCAAGACAGAGTGCTCCCCTCCTGTCGCTCCTTCAATCCCACATCAGTGACGTAGGAGCTGCTGTCAGACCCACCTCACAGGCGGGCACACAGGCTGAGGGAGGTCCAGCCGCTTGCACACATTACTCAGCTGGCAAAGGACAACCGTAGAGACACACTGCCCGTCTGTGTCTGCCTCTTCCTTTAGCACTCGGGGCTCTGGGGGCTTGGGAATCCGTCCAGAGAATGACCTATTCAACCCTGTTCTGCCACTACTTGTCAAAGGCACCCCGAAGAACCAGTAGAAGCCAGGCCAAATGGTCTTGGAGACTTTCAGTTCTTCATTTACATCCGTTTCCTCCGCTGTCCGGATCAAGCCTCTTGTCTGCCCCACAGGATCACAGAAATCTGCTGGCAACATGCGTCCCAGCTGCTGCAGACAGATGTCTGCTCTGGGAAGCATCTGTGCACGCCCAGGGAGGCTGCAGCAGTGGTGACCACACCACGTGGACTGAACCCAGGGCTCTGAAGGGCCCTTTGGGACGGGGTCTGGTGTGAAACGCTTGCACACTGGGGGAGCCCCTTTGTTATGTCAGCGCTCAGCATCCATTCCCTTCTCCTCCGACTCCCTTGGTGCTCTCATCATGCCTCGAAGATGCAGCAGACCCCACCCCTGCAGCAGGATGCTGCCCTTTGCCAACACATGCCTTTCTGCTTGGGAAGCACTCAGCCGAGGACCCAGCCCCTGGGCGTCCTTTTCTCATCTAGTAACTGAGACTCAGCGCATCTCCTGGCCCGATGACTGCCCTTTCCTCCTGGCTTCAGGAGGGTGCAGGGAAGTCTTCACCTTTCTGTTCTGGTGGAGAGGAAGTCCTCTGACCACAAAGGCAATTTAGGACAACAAAGCCAGAGAAAGAGGCACCCTCCAACAAGAATCATTAGAATGTCATCTTGTCTTTGTCACGTTTTGTGTTTTTTTTCCAAAATACAACTTGGAGAAGTCACTCCATTCTTAATGGTCCTATTGGTCAGTGTCTGCCCGAGATGGACAGTGGTGCGGTGACCGTGCCTGGGGCCAACTCTGGGCCAGGAGGCTGAGGCCTGAGGTCTTGGCCCTGACCACCCGGTGGCCATGGCTGGTCAGTCCCTTGCCTGGGCCATGGTCTCCTCCCTTGGAGGACAGGGTGTAAGTGAGGTCTGAGCTTTCCTATCGCTCTGGCAGGAGAACCTTTTTATCTTCCCCAAATTTAAACAGGAACCCCAATACCGAGACCTGATTCAATGGAGCTGCTTTGACAGAAACAGCTGAGGGGAATGGCAGGACTAGCCTGGCCCATCCTCTCGTGGTCGAAAGGATGCACATCTGTGTGGACTAGCCCAGGGCCCCGCCTGTGCAGCCCGGGGTGGCTGGCTGGGGCTCTAGCTGCGCTGAGGCTGGGGTTGGGGCCCATATCCACCAGCAACTGGTTAGAAAGCTCTGACAGGCTTATAAGACTTAGCTGGGCCCCTCAGCAAAGGGCGGAGCCCTGGGCAGGCCAGAGGGCTGGCTCGGCCATAATTCAAAAACCAGCCGGGAAGGAGGAGGGCCTGGAGGCCCTTTCCGGCCCCTCCCTGTCCTCGCTCTGGGATGTGTCCCTCTGCAACTCACGAGTTCACACACAGGACCACGATGTTCTTCCACAGGTTCCGGGTTCCCACCATCTTCACGATGCAGACCTTCTTGGGCCTCCGGGACAGCTCCTTCTCCAGCTCTGCGGAGAAAGAGAGCGTGACCTCTCCGCAAGGCCGGACCGGCGGCTCAAAGACAGCCGGTGCCCAATCAGGCATCGTGAATGGGGAGAATGCTGTGGGATTTCCCCTCTAAGGCAGGGGACAGGGCCTGGCTGTCAGGATAGCGAAGGTGTTCACGGACTCTAACCTGGCTGTTCAGATTCCCCGCGGGGTGGGGTGTGGAGGGAGCCATGCTCACTGTCAGCCTCTCCTGGGAACCAGGCAGGACACACACACAGTGATTAGCGCAGGCTCATTCCACACGGGCAGAGGTCAGGGCCCAAGGGTGATTCTAGAATGCTGAGCACTCACTGGGCTCTGGGCACTGAGAACAGTGGCGCCGCCCACTGCTCAGAGAAGCCCATGCCGACACGCTCCTTAACTGTGAGCGGAACGCACGATGGCATCGCTGCTGCTTCCGACGCTGCCCCTCCAGTGCATGCATCTTCGAAAGAGAAATAAATGCAGCAACTGGGTGCCTATCTGTGCACACACAGATCACACAATCCACACGTGGGTATACTTTTAACGCTCACAGCCTTTGGCAGCTGGAAAGACATGATGTTTGGGCTGAAAGTGATGCGACCAACCACACAGTTAGGAGACAGTTTCTTGCGAGGCTCAAACGGGCTCCAAAAGCCATTCTGAACAGACTGACGGCATCCCAGGGCCACGTTAACTGGGTTCATGGGTTTGCTCAAGTGCTGGTGTTGACTAGCAAGTTAACATGGAAGATCAAAATAGGCAACGTCTGGACCTCCACGGCCTCCCTACCCCTCTGTGCGCAGAAAAGCCACCGTCCAGCCTCCCAGGCCCTTCTTGCTCCTGCCCAGGCCTGTCCTGGGGGAATAATCCCCTACTCAGGAGCTAAAAGCGAAAAGGACAAGTTAACCAATTGGGTGGCTCGCCAGTGCTCTTTAAGATTGTTAAGGCCACGAAAACAAGGAAAGACTGAGAAACTGCTGTAGTCCGGAGGGGACTGCAGAAACGGGCTGACTAGTGCCATCCTGGAGCAGGAAGAGGTTTCTCATGGGAAGATGGTGACGTGCAGGTAAAGGCTGGTGTTTGGTTAACGGTAGCGTCCCCGTGGCAGTTTCTCAGCTGTGACAACTGTGCCGTGGGAATATCAGATGGTAATAAGAGGGGAGACTGAGTCTGGGGTATTCAGAAATTCTGTACTACTTTGCAACTTTTCTGAAAACTTAAAGTTATCCCAAAAAAGTCTACTACGTTTTTCTTAAAAAGCAGTGGGGGTGGGAAGTTCCCCGTATACTAGGAAGCCTTTGGTGCTCAGAGGAAACAGGCCTGCCTCCCAGAGCAGCAGCTCCCTCAGGGAGTCTCTGAAGAGTGCCCTCCACACCCACACCCCTGTCACCTGCCCCCCTTACTTCTCTCCTGTTCTACCTCCTTCCCGCCATCCAATGGCAGGAGGGCCGCCATCCTCATTAGTTACAGTTGGAAGGAAAATATTTTGCTTAACCATAAGGATTTAGGAGCTTTTTATTTAAATAAAATTTTTTTTTGGATCAGTGTCACCAGCTGTAGCATAGAAAGGAGAAGAAAAAGCCTCTCCTATGTCTGAGAGATACCATACCACTTGAGTTTCCAGAACTTTCTTCCTTTCCATATTTAGGTGTGAAGATTGAGGTCTGTGCACAAGCCAGACAGCTGGCATTTCGGCTGTGTCCACAGACCCTCTCCTGAGGTCTTCCTGACTTCTTTGCTCCCCTTTGTAAAAATGGACTAATTTGATTTACAAACATACTTTCCCCTGGTTAAAAATCTAAAAAACTTTTAAAGAATATAGAAATATTATAGTTAATAGATCATGTTGGATCCAGTGACCTGAGTAATTTCACTTTTGTAAAACTTACCAGGAATCAACTATAATAGCTCCACTTGCTCACCATGAAAATCTTACAAGAAGAAACCTTAAATGCCCATTAAGATGTTTACATAAGTTTAAAGGTTGTGTTTTTTTAAATGTGGCCCAAACCTAACTACTAACACATTATTAGAAGTAAAACAGGGGGTCTGGCCTATAGAGGGATTTTCAATCCCAGCAACAACACAGCACTGGTAACTATTACGCAGCCAGCTCTGGGCAGTGAACTCCCACTGGACAGAGAGGCCCTATAGCCTCAGAGGCCAACCCAAGAGCACTGCCACCCAGAGGCTGACCCACAAACTGACTCTTTGCTAAACACAAAATAAGGCAGTCTGGGAAACAAATGCAGCTTGCTTTAAAATAAGGACTGTGGTTTACAACACAGAGGAACAGTGTATCGCAGGGAAACTCAACACCCTCCTGAATACCTGGCAGGTCTAAGGCGAGCCACACTGAAGAATAGAAGAACCGAAGGACCTTCACTACTGCAATATATTTTTTTTTTCTTTTTTCACCTTTTAACTAAGAAACCAATTTTTTTTTTATTTTTTTTTCTTTTCTTCTTTTTTTTTCTCTTCTTTTTTCCATCATCTGATTTTACCCTTTTAATTACTACCTTCTTATTTTTAACCAGTATTATTACTGCTACCATTTTACCATTTTTTTTTAAAGTGCCATTTTATTTTCTCTTTATTTTATTTTGGGATTAGTGTTCTCCATTCTATTTTCATCGGTATATTATTGGTTGTTTCTAGTTTGCATTCATCTCCAGGGAGCTGTTGCTGGAATTTGTTAGGATTAATGGCTGTTCTATAGGAGTATTCTCCTCATATAAAAAAGTCTCTTCCCCTCTTCCACTTCATTCTCTCTTTTCGCTCTTTTTTTTTCTTTTCTTTTCTTATCTCGCTTTTATTTTCCCCCCTCCTTTTTCCCAATTTCATTTTTGCACTCCTTTTTTTGGTCCCTACTTTTCTTTTCTTTTTTCTCTTTTATCTTTTTCTCTTCCTTCTTCCTTATCCCCTAATTCTCTTAATTCAGGTGGTCACCTTTATTTGGGGTTATTAATATCGTGAATATATTTGTGTATAGTGCCTGGTACGTGGTGCCTTGTTGTGTTGTATTTTGTGCCTTTAAATCAACGCAGCAGATCCAAGCAACAGCAACCTCCTGAGCACCACACCCTCTGCTGAGGAACAGCAGCTGTACGTTTAACCTCGCCCCACCAGCCAGAAGAGCCACCACAGCTGTGAACAGCACCCACGAGAGGAGCTGCTGCCAACTGAAGAGCAGCTGCAACCGCAACCGCCCGAAGAGCAACCACAGACCAAGGAGTCACTGCCATCAAGGGAGCAGCCACTGAACAACTCAACGTCTAGATATGTCAGTGAGATCAAACATGGGTAGACAAAGAAACCCCCAAAGGAAAGAGAAGGAGGACTCTCCAGAAAAGCAGCTAAGTAATACAGAGGCATGCAACATGACAGATAAAGAATTCAGAATAAGGGTCCTAGAGTGCATAAACCGGATGGAGGAAAAAATCAACAACCTCTGCAAGAAGCAAGACGAAACAGATGAAAAAATCGATAACATATGGAAGAAGCTAGAAGAAACAGATGAAAAAATCAACAACTTAAGTAAGACCCAAGAAGAAATGAAGAGTGATATAGCTGCAATGAAAAACTCCATTGAAAGTATCAACAGTAGACTGGGTGAAGCGGAGGACCGAATTAGTGAATTAGAAGACAAGGAAGCAAAACACACCCAAATTGTACTGCAATTGGAGAAAAAAATGAAAAGACAGGAGGAGAGCCTAAGGGAGCTTTGGGACAACATGAAACGAAACAACATACGAATAATAGGGGTACCAGATCAACAGAAGGATGAACGAGGATTAGAAAACCTATTAGAAGAAATAATATCAGAAAACTTCCCTGAGGTGGGGAAGAAAAAAGTCACACAAGCCCAGAGAGTCCCAAACAAGGTGAACCCAAAAAGACCCACACCAAGACACATCATAATTACCATGGCAAATGTTCAGGACAAAGAGAGAATCTTACAGGCTGCAAGAGAGAGACGGAAAGTTACATACAAGGGATCTCCCATTAGATTGTCAAATGATTTCTCAACAGAAACACATCAGGCCAGAAAAGAATGGACGGAAATTTACAAAGTGATGCAAAGCAAAGGACTGAATCCAAGAATACTCTATCCAGCAAGGCTATCATTCAAACTTGAAGGGGAAATAAGAAGCTTCACAGACAAAAAAAGGCTAAGGGAGTTTATCACCACCAAGCCAGCAATGCAAGGAATGCTAAAGGGACTGGTATAAAAATAAGAAATAAAAAGCTCAGAAAGAAAACAGCCACACAAAAACAGAAATGGCTACAAACAAGTACCTTTCAATAATAACTTTAAACGTAAACGAACTAAATGCTCCAAACAAAAGACATCGAGTGGCTGAATGGATAAAAAAACATGACCCATACATCTGCTGTCTACAAGAAACCCACCTCATTAGAAGGGACTCACACAGACTGAAAGTGAAAGGATGGAAAAATATCTTTCAGGCAAATGGAAAGGAAAAGAAAGCTGGGGTAGCAATACTTATATCGGACAAAATAGACCTCAAAGTGAAGGCCATAACAAGAGATAAGGAAGGCCACTTCATAATACTAAAGGGATCAATACAACAAGAAGATATAACCCTGGTAAACATATATGCACCCAATGCAGGAGCACCCAAATTCATAAAAAAAACTCCTGGAAGATATCAAAGGAGACATCGACAACAATACAATCATAGTAGGGGACTTTAATACACCACTGACAGCACTGGATAAGTCCTATAGACAAACAATCAGCAAAGATACAGCAATCCTAAATGACTCACTAGATCAGATGGACTTAATAGACATCTTCAGAACACTTCACCCCAAAGCCAGGGAATATACGTTCTTCTCAAGTGCTCATGGGACATATTCAAAAATAGACCATATATTGGGTCACAAGCAAAGTATCCCCAAATTCAAGAAAATTGAAATCATAAAAAGCGTCTTCGCAGACCACGATGGCATAATATTAGAAATAAACTAC